TGACCTGGTATCAGCTGCTGATATTGAACTTCTCCATTGTTTCTTTCCATAGATGCAGTCAATCTGACTTCTGGTTATTACATCTGGAGACGTCCAAGTTTTAGTTAGGTGCTGGTTGAGTTATTGAAAAGGTATTTGCTATGAATATATCATTGGTCTTGCAAAATTCAATCATATGATCTCCAGCATGTTTATATGATCAAGTCCTTATTTTCCAACTATCGTTCCTTCCTCTTTGTTTCCAACTTTTACATTCCAATCGCCAATGGTTATCAATGTATCTTGATTGCCTGCTTGATCAATTTCCCAGTGATGATTTGGTAGAATTCTTCAGCTTCTTCCTCACTAGCTTTTATTGGTGGTGCATAAATTTGAGCAATAGTTGCATTAATTGGATTTACTTGAAGGCAGATGGAAAAATCCTATTACAAAAGCATTGTACTTCAAGATAGATCTTGAAATGTCCTTTTAGACAATGAATGCAGTACCATTCCCCTTGACTGTATCATTTTCAGCATAATAAACCATATTTCTTAATGACCATTAAGAAATGATCATATTTCAGAATGACCATTGACAGTCCATTTGAGTTCAGTAATGCTTGGGATATCCATTTCCCAGATTCATAATTGGTACATTTCAAATACCAATTATTAGTAGGTTTTTGCAACTGTTCCTTCTGACCTTGAATTGTGCACCATCAGCAAATGAAGATCCCAAAGGCTCCACTTCCATAGACTTTATTCCATTCATGTCACCATGGTCAAGTCTACTTTGAGAAGGCAGCTCCTCCTCATTCAAATCTAGAGTGTCCTCCGACCTGAGGAGCCCATCCTCCAGCATTCTTTCCCACAGTATTTTGCTTCCATTCATTAGACCCTCACATCTGACAAGGTTTCCATGGTAGGCATCAGGGTTTCGATGGCTATTTCCTCCAGAATGGGCAGTCGATTCCTTCTTCACCATCTTTTCTTACTGTGGAAGTTCCTCTGAAATTTGTTCACTTTGGGTGCCCCTGCTGGCATTTGAAATACCAGTGACATAGCTTCCAGCATCAGAGTAGTAACACACAAGCCACCACAGGACAACAAACTGACAGAGAAGTGGTGGTAATGGTATATCTCAATGGTTGCCTCAATGCTTAAGAGAATAATTAGGTAGTCAATGCCTTATTTGAGGTAAAAAAGGAAATTATTTTAAAATACTACGTTAAACGATACTTGTTAAGCTCTCACTCTTTTTGTCTGTGATTAAATATACATGTATTAATCTATATGCTCAAAATGTACATTCCACTATATATATATGTCCCTTCCCAAGCCAAAACTAAACTCACAACCATACATATATTTGTCCCTTCCCAAACCAAAACTAAACTCACAACCATCAAGCCAAGGCTGATTCATAGTGGCCCTTATAGGACAAGGTGTAACTAACTGCCCCTATGAGTTTACTAGATTGTAACTGTTTAAAGGAGTAGAAAGTCCCAACTCTTTCCTGTGAAGTGGCTGGTGATTTCAAATAGCTGACCTTGTAGATTGCAGCCAGAAAACCACTACACTACCAGGGCTCCTTATATAATAACATATCACTTGACATAGTTAAGGTTTATTGTGCCAACCTGGCCGATACACATGTGGGATTAATTGAAGGGTGGAGAGATAAATGGTTCTGTGAGCCTCGCCTTTCTTATTCTTGGGTCTCTTGTTCTCTGATGGATGGACCAGTGTGCAGCTGCCTTAGCTGGCAAGGCTCACTGCCTGCGAGACATCCATGAGGAGAAGCCACATGGACCTACCTTGATGCATCCCTGAGTGCTGGAGAAGCTGCATGGAGACCCCTGCCAGCACTGAGATGCTTACACTGCCACTGGATTCAAAGACTTTCTACTCAATAGCGTGTGATCCTCCTGCATTCAGCATCATTGTGTATGTTTTGTGAGTTTGAGGAAGACTGTAGATCGGTGTCAGACATAGGGGCTAAGTCAGACTTATGTGCTTGGACTGGACTGGGTTGGGATGCTTTCTGAATGTACACTTACCCTTTATATAAAACTCTCTCTTATACATACATGAGTTTCTGTGGATTTGTTTCTCTAGTTGACCCAGACTAACACACACTATTACCTATCACTTCCACTCTTTATATCTTTGGTATAGATAATAGTGGCATTATAAATTGTCATTTTACTACCATGTTAAACAATACAATATATGCATTAATTATTTCTAAATTTCAAGTAAGGGGTTGACTATATAGAGATACATTCAATCAGACTCACTGCGATCTAGTCAACACTGACTCCTAGCACTCCCTATGGGTTTCTGAAACTACCAGTTCATGGGAGTAGAAAAACGTCTTTCCCCTGCAGAGCTGCTGGTGTTTTTGAACTGCCAGCCATGTGGCTCTCATGGAAATACATAACCACTGCACCACTAGGGCTCCTCTACACACACACACACACACACACACACACACACACACATACACACACTTAATTGAATTTAATTTACTAAAAACAATTTTGACAGTTTGACATAATTCACATATCATATAGTTCAATGGTTTAAATATATTAAAAAGAGTTGTACAATCATCACCATAATCAATTTAAGTATTTTATAATTTAAATACCACCTAAAAGCCATAGACTGAAATTAAATTATAGTGATACAAAATTTATTACTTCAACTAAGAAGTAACTTCTTAGCTCCTTAGTGTTCACCACAATATTTCCCAGAGTGAATTCTAAAGTAACTTCTTAGTAGAAGTAATAAAACTGACTTTCTACAATTCCGTGCCCAGCTGCAACCCGTGTGCTTTCTAATGCGTAATATGAAAGTGTATGCATTTATAGAGATAATCAAAATCGTTTTAGATGAAAATTGCCCATTTATTTCACTGATAATAATCACATAATCTTTTAAAAAATACTCCCCTTTAAAAATGAAAAGGCATAATTCCAGTGCTGCTGAAACTTAACCAGGGATAATGTGCTAGTGTTATTTACTTAAAAATTAACCTTTATTGTAGAAGTCTGAGCTTAAGAAATAAAGTAATACTTTATATGCCTTTCATTTGCATGCATACATGTAATGGATTTTAAAAGTCATTGATATAAATATTAAGTCAACTGAAATAAATATGCTTGAAACAAAAAAATTATTAGGTAGACCCTTTCATTTGATTTAGATGCATGAAAAAAAGCAATCATATTTTTAAACAAAATAAAATATATGAACATTTCATCATAGTATTGAATTATTGGGATCAAAATATGTTAAATGCAACCTGGGACCTGTATACCAGAAAGAAAAAAAACCCTCAAGTATTCAAGAGAGGAAAATATCATTTATACTATTTTCCCTTAGCAAATGCAATCTTCAGAGAGAGAAAACTCTTTCTTTACAAAGAAATTTCAACTGAAGCCATCTGATTTAATCTATAAATTGGTCCATCGACTTCCTATCTATTGCTTGTAAAATTTTTAACTAACTTGTTTTTCCTTACTTGCACTTGATTCTTAACTTGGTCAACCAAAAAGGTTTTATATTATATATCAACGAGAGCCCTAAGTAAAATTTCATACTTTCACGGTTAATAAAAGAGGTACCCACCGGCTGAGCTGCAGGAGAAAAATCTGACAGTCTGCTTCCCTAAAGTTGAGACAATGTGCTCCCCTAGAGAATTGTAGCCTTGGAAAGCCCACATAGGGCACTATCAGAATGTGTGTAAGTTTCATAAGCATCTGTAAAAACTTTAATGATTAATAAACCCATCAATGTCCTATAAAAATTATTAGAAAAATAAATGAAAACTTATATTGTTATTTTAGCACATGCAACCTTAGTGTCCACAACAATATTGCACAGAGTGAATTCTAAAGCTAAGTATTTGGATGAAAATATGTTTCCTTAGACAAATCCTTTGGGACAGAGTTTATTTAAAAATTTAAATATTTTTCTTTTATGTAGCATGTTTAAGAATCTTAATGAGATAGATTGACCCAGTGGCTGCAATAATGGGCTCAAATATAGAAATAATGGTGAAGATGGCAAAGGACAAGGCAGTGTTTTATGTACATAAGTGGGAGCCAACTGGATGGTACCTAACCACAACAATGATTATGCCTGTGTATGTAAATTTCTCAGCAGTGCTAATTTGGCAGGATGGGATAATGTTACTGTCCATTGTAATAGGACCACTATGAATTGGGACCAACTCACTGGCATCTAACAAATAAGTACGAGTGTTCTCTTAAAATATTTTTATTAAGACCTATGTAAATCTTTTCCCCCCATCCCGTATACTCTATTCAAGATCAAAACAAACAGTGCTTATTAGCAACATGGTGAAATAATCTATTCTCTGCCACAAAATTACAAATGTCTACTATTGAAATTTTCTATTTATAAACAATGAAAGATGGAACTTGAAGGAAAGATCATTTGGGATACAATTTTAAGGTTTAAATAAGGTATACCCTTTTTATAATGACAAGGGAACTCAGCATGGAAATATGAAATTATTACTCACGATCAAACAAACTTTCTAAAAAGAGCAAAACCTCTTTTCCTTATTAAACAAAAAGAAAGATGAAAAAACACTATCCTGTCATTGATTGCACAGTAAATTATGGGAGAGCTGGAACAACTTATAAATGAAGAAATTCTCTAAGATCAGAGAAGAAAAATTTTAATCTTCTCTATTAGGAGAGTGATAGTGAAGTGGTAAGACTGCAACAACCTGTCAAAGATGACAATTTTTCCAGAAGGTGGAAAAAAGCCACCAAAGTATTTCTGTTGTGTTCTGGCTCTCATAGGTTTCACTGCAGTTATAGCAATGGATGTTCCAGAGTCCTCTGCTACCTCATGTCATGATCACTGACTTTGAACTGTCTGCTCCACTTGCTGGCACAGAAAGAGACAAATCAGAAGCTGAGCACACTGGACAGTAACAATCAAGCATAACCATGCTGGTGTGTTTGTATGATGCGGTACCTGGGCATCTATACAGCTTTCTTGCCTGTGCAATATCTCCTTTGCTCAAGCGGGTTCGCTGACCAATTGCCGGGCGTATGCCATTGTCATCACGGGAGGGGAGAATTGTATCCAGAAACATCCCCCTGGGGGAAAAAAAGCAAAAACTCAAATAAGACACACTTAAGTTACTAAATTAAGGCTCATCTATTCCTTATAAATATGAGAATATTTATTAAAGTGAAGGGAGAAATATATGAGTGCTGAAAGTAGTGTGCAGGATTACCAAATATGATCACCAATGTAGACAAATAAGTCTCTGTGTTAAATGTGTGTCTAACATAAAGTCAATTATGGCATTCACTTCTCTTAAAGTTGAATCTTTAAAAAATATCATTGGCTAGTATATAGACACCTACAGTTATACCATGACTTTTGTTTGGCAGACAAATAAAGTTTTAATTAAGATGTAGAACAATTCACTCTCACTTAGATTATTTTTTTTTAAGAACAGTCTACACATAGTTTTAAGAACAGTCTAAATGCTCTTGAGGTTACACAATTTGTAACAGATAAAGGCAACATTCATAAATTAATATTTTCTGTTGTTACTTTAACCTAGGTAATCTTAGCAGTCTCTGCATTGCAGCTTTGTGTTTTGTTTTGTTTTTAAAGAACAAAGAAAAACAGAATACCAAATTTTAGATCAAAACAAAAACCAAACTCACTGCTATTGAGTTAATTCTGAGTCAAAACAACCCTAAAAAGAGTGGGCAGAATTGTCCCTGTGGGTTTCTGAGACAATAATTCTTTATGGGACCAGAAAGGCTCTCTTTTCTCCCAAAATATTTAGACTGAACAATTTAGAGAAAAGACATTTTATTAAGGCACATCCACACATACATATAAAAAAAACAAAACTGTGTGCTAAAGATAAAGAATTGTCATGGGAGCTTGGTTGGTATAGTGCCTTATGAGTTGGACTGCTAACTTCTGGGTTGGTAGTTCAAACTCACAAAACCATTCTGAGGGATAAAGACTATTAACATGTACAGATTATGAGGGCTTAATCAAGGGCAGTGTAGGCAAGAGGAATTACTGAAACCCAAATGAAGGCCGAGTATAATAGTGGGAAAGAGGAAAGTAAAAGGAAATAGAGGAAAGAACTGGGAGGCAAAGGACATTTATAGAGGTCTAAATATAGGCATGGACATATGTAAATACATTTATATATAACATTACGGAGACAGATCTATGTACATATGTTTATTTGTGAAGTATTAGGGCAGCAGACAGACATTGGGCCTCCACTCAAGTACTCCCTCAATGCAAGAATACTTTATTCAAATAATCTGGCATCCTGTGATGCTCACCGTCACTGACACAAAAGACAAAATGGGTGCAAAGCAAATGTGGTGAAGAAAGCTGATGGTGCCCAGCTATCAAAAGATATAGCACCAGGGGTCTTAAAGGCTTGAAGATAAACAAGCGGCCATCTAGCTGAGAAGCAACAATGCCCACATGGAAGAAGCACACCAGCCTCTGTGATCATGAGGTGCTGATGGGATCAGGTATTAAGCATCAAAGACTCAAAACAAAAAAGCATATGGATGTGAATGGGGGGTGGGGGTGGGGGTGGACACAAAGCCCATCTGTAGAAAATTGGACAAAACCTTACAGAAGGGTCACAGGAAGAGATGAGCCAGTCAGGGTGCAGTATAGCAGTGATGAAACACACAACTTTCCTCTAGTTCTTTAAAGCTTCTTACCCCCACTATCATGACCCCAATGTTACCTTACAAATCCAGCTAGATCAGAGCATGTACACTGTTGCAGATAAGAGCTCGAAACACAGGGAATCCAGGACAGATAAACCTCCTCAGGACCAATAATGACAGTAACAATACCAGGACGGGAAGGGGAAAATGGGGGGAGAATAGGGGAACTGATCACAATGATGTACATATAACCCCCTCCCAGGGGAGTGGACAACAGAAAAGTGGTTGAAGGGAGACAGCGGTCAGTGTAAACATGAAAAAATCAATAACATAAATTATCAAGGGATCATGAGTGAGGGAGGGGGAAAGGAGGGATGAGCTGAAAACAAAGGCTCAAGTAGAAAGAAAATGTTTTGAGAATGATAATGGCAACAAATGTACAAATGTGCTTGACACAATGAGTGAATGTATGGATTGTGAAAAGAGTTGTACAAGCTCCCAATAAAATTAATTTTTAAAAAATGTACAGTTCTACTCTGTTCTACAGGACTGAAATATGTTAGAACTGACTTAATGGCAATGCGTTTGAGTAAGGAATAATACAGGTGACTAATTTACTATTTTTTTATTAATAGTGTATGAGGCTTAAAATCCCAAATTCCATACACTAAGAATATGGTTTCTTTTTTTAGTACATATTTAGCATTTTTATTACTAAAGGAAGCACTGGACTGAAAACTAAATGGACTTCATATTGGTATTAAAGGTGGAATGAGAGTCTACAGATTTTCAAAACACTCAAAATAATAAAAAGAAATATTTAAAAATCTTTTTAATAAGGTAAATGTTAACATGTCTTCACAAAGTGTGAGAATAAATTATATTTAAAGTGCATTTTAAAAAACAATATTTTCAACTTCATCCCTTCCTTTTGGAAATATTTATTAAGCACTGTTCTAGGTCTGTATTTATAGCAATAAATAAAACAAACAGAAATCCCTCCCCGTAAAATGCTCACATTGGTAGAAAGTCATTAAACTTAAGGCGTGACAGGAATTGAGGTTCTGTGGGGAATACAAAGGAGGAAAAAATGGATCTTGATTTTCAGTGTTGGTCTAATCCTTAAATAGGATGACCAAAGAAGCATTTGCTTGGAAGTTGACATTTTAGACAAACAAGAAAGGTGAAGAACAGGTTGTTGGGAGTTGTAAATTGTCCGAGAGAAAGAACAAGAAATACAACACCCCATGACTGGAGAACCCCTAAAATATTTGCACATGGCTCAGAGAATGTAGGTTTTACACAAAGGACACTTGGTAATCTCTTGGAAGGTGATAACCGGAACCGGAACATAATCTGAATCATTGATGATTGGTCTGCAGAGCTTCTGGCAATAGCACCTGGACAACTCAGAGAGGGAGACTGGGATTCTTTAAACCAGATCTCAGCACCCACCGAGCTGCGTGTATAGGCACCCTGAGAGCAGAGCAGCTAGGTGAGCCGGAATGACACATGGAAATTGACCATTAACAGTGAGCTTGCACATACATAATAGGATGCAGCTTCAGCTGAGGCAGTGAAATTGAAAGAGGAAGCTTAGCTATACAGTAGAATTGAGAAAAGTCGTTCTTTTATTATGCTGCTCTATCAATATTTACCAGGCAGTCCAAATTGATGAAGTGCTACAGTGTCTGAAGTACTTCAGGAATAATGAAGTAGTCACAATTTTCTACTTCGATCTCTAAAAACCGACTTATGATTCTGGAAAATGTTTCACTTTTCTCCCACCTTTCAAAAGAAATTCCAAAGGTTTGGGTCATTCAAGCCAACTAAGGAGGACTGTCGCCCAATCTTTTGTTCTTTCTTTGTGGTCAGGAAGCTAGTTATTTTCTCTCTCCCTTATTTCAAACATTAATCAATGAAGCTCTTCTGGGGCCTCTTCAGTGAGTCAATACCAGTGAGATTATATTGGTATTGTTGTTAATTGTTCCAGCTACATTAAAAGAACAAATTAGCTATGCATTTTAAGAAATGTTATCAAATTTTATAACTCTTTTGTTAATGGAAAGGATGCTACCCCCCCAGTTTGCAAGCATTCACATGACACAAATCCATGCAAAAAGAAACAAAGGTTTATACATCTAGCTTTATTGTTCTAATAGATGAGTTCCTAAAACTGCTAACAGGATACTGTTATGAAAACAACTGGAACTTTATAGACTTTCTGGTTTCAGAAAAGAAGAAACTATAACACTTTAAATACTTTGAGGAGGTGGAGCTGAGAGCTATGGCAAATATTTCATCTTCTGATTCTCAGTCCTTTAAATCTGTATACAAGATAATAACATTCTATTTAAAGTCCTCGTGGCACAGCACAGTTGTTAACCATTCAGCTGCTAACAGAAAGGTCAGGTGTTCACCTACTCCATAGGTGAAAAAGTTGGCAGTCTGCTTCTGTTAAGCTCATAGTCTTGAAAATTGGATTGGGAACTGTTACTCTAGTCAGCCCAGCATGAAAATAGTTAAAGGCTCAAAAACAATTCCATGATGTGAATCAGGTCACTGAGGCTACTCTCCTTCTGTTAGAGAAGGTCATTTGCACAGCAGATATGTAAATTTAGGAATAATGTCTAGGATAATTTTGAAACGTAAGAATAGCAGGTCAATGCTGATTGCCATGCAGCACAATGATGGCTGTGAGGGAAGGGGGTGTACAGGCAGGGAGATTTGCAGTGGTTGACAGGGAAACAAAGAGTTTAGCATGCAGGAGTAGCAACGTAATCTATGAGCAATATTTGACTGGCTTCCCAAGCTTCTAGGTAAAGAAAAGGGTAAGGATATTGAAATCTAACCTGGGTATCCACACAGCTTCCTGTGTATACAGCCTGAGATTAGAGTAGAGAGGTGTGGATTAATGATGTATGGGAATTGAGCATCAAAAATGACATACTTAATAAGATGCAGCTTCAGCTAGAAAAGAGGAAAGTTAGCTATACGGTAGAATTGATCAAATGTATTCTTCTACTGTACTGCATAAACCAATATTCAGCAAGCAAGTCAAAATTAAGGAAATGCTGATTAATGGAATTCTACATATATTTCAAATATTTCTATAGACTGTACATTTATTAAAAATAGAAAAGATAAATTATTACTTTCTAACTTCTACCCTGTCTTTCTTCTGCTCCAGAAAATGAAAACTTGGGTTAGTTCTGAATAAAAAATTCAACAGCACATTGGCTGAAATAGGGAGCCCTGGTGGCACTGTAGGTTAGTAGGCATTGGGCTATTAACTGTAAAGTCAGAGGTTCAAATCCACCAGGCACTCTACTGAAAACAAAAATAAAGCTGTCTGATGCCACAAAGACCCAACAGAGAGTCCTATGAGTAGAAAAGGACTCAGTAGCAGTGAGTTTGGTTTGGTTTGGCAGAAATGGGAGTCAAATCCTTTGTCATGTACTGCTAAGGAAAACTGAATCCCAAGCATTGACCTATAAATACATTATTTTTATACATCTTTCTATTTAATTTCAAGCCAAAGCTCTGGGTACTTTTCTGTGAAAACTTAATTTCTAATTTCAGAGAACATATGGATTTAAAGAGCTAATTACTTAACCAAGGAAGTACAAGGATGGTGGGGGGCTTGAGAAAGTTTGTGGGAAGAGAATGACAATAGATGCTTCGGTGGGGGAAAGGAACCAACCTACCATACCCAGAATCGGAAGCAAATGAACGGGAGTAAGGGTGTGGAACACACCCTGACGCACCCAGCTCTGAGGACAATAGGCCCTCCCAGAGTAGAACAGAGAGGAGCATATGGCCAGCCCCACTCCTAGATGTGACATCCCACACTAACCCATAGCCCTACAGGGGACGACATTGGAGACATAGTGTGGGATTTTTGACGGATCTGATCCCACCCCACCAAGGCAAAACACTAAGGGCGTGTAATAGAACAGCAAAGAGAGCAGAACAAGGAAGTCCTGAGGGAGTACCAAAAATAGACTTTGGGGCCAGGACATGGCATCCCATCAGACCCAACCAGAAAACACTCCTAAAGGTCAACAAACAAACCCTGAACTATTTACAGTACAGGCTTTTTTTCCTTTTTTTTAAATTGATTTTGTATGTCATTAGCTTTTTTGTTGTTGTCGTTTTGTTTTTCTGTGTCACTTTTCTTGGCACTGTCTTGTTTTTATGTGCATATTATTGTATGGCTGGATCAATACCAGGCCAGCTTCTAGCAGTAAGTGACCTTGAATCTCCCCCACACACCTGTGTTGCTGACCAGAGCTGGCTAATGTAAAGCAGCTTTGCAAGTTTTTTTTCTTTCTTTTACTCATGGCCCATTTTGCTCATGGCCCCTTTTGTTCACGGTCCCTTTGGTTCAGTGCCCGCTTTGTTCTCGACCCGCCGCTCTGCACCCAGCAGGAATACACCCGGAAGCAGGAAGAGACACCTTACATTCCAGAAACCTGGACATACCTGTATCTCCCAATTCCTGACTACCTTATAGGGACTCAAGGAAGCCCAGTCACATGTTCCCCGGCTATATAAACACCACTCCTGTAGTCTGGAGTGCAACTCCCTCCACCCAGACACTGTGGACTGTGGGACTTCGCCCAGGCTGGGTTTTTCTCCCCCAATAAAACCTATTTGCTTAAATTCCACTAATTTGGGTTCTAACGCCTCTCGACTACCTTACAATTATTATCTCTGCAGGTCTATCTAGATAAGATAGGTTGGATAAATAATGTGGAGACCAAAACAACAGGACTGATGGTTCTGGGGGGACATGGGAGAAGGGGAGGTGGGGGAAAGGAAGTGGTGTTAATAAACCCAGGGGTATGGGAATGAGTGATTCAAAACCAGTGGCAAGGAGGGAGTGGGAGTCCTGGTATGGAGTGATCAACGGCAATATAACCGAGAGGCATTACTGAAACCCAAATGAAGGCTGAGCATGATAATGGGACAAGAGGAAAGTAAAAGGAAATAAAGGAAAGAACTAGGAGGCAAAGGCCATATAGATCTATGAGCATATACTTATGGGTTTACTATTAAGGTATCAGATGGACGTTGGGTCTACACTCAAGTGCTCCCTCAATACAAGAACACTTTGTTCTGTTAAACTGACATTCCATTATACTCACCTTCCAGACACAATCGCTGAAACAAATGTGTGCATAAGCAAATATGGTGAAGAAAGCTGATGGTGCCTGGCTATCAAAAGATATAGCACCTGGGGTCTTAAAGGCTTGGAGGCAAACAAGCAGCCATCTAGTTCAGGAGCAACAAAGCCCACATGTAAGAAGCACATCAGCCTGTGTGATCATGAGGTGTTGAAGGGATCATGTATCAAGCACTAAAGAACAAAAAATAATATCATCGTGAATGAGGGGGAGTGCGGGGTGGGGACCCAAGGCCCATCTGTAGGCAACCAGACATCTCTTTACAGAAGGGTAGCAGGGAGGAGACGAGTCAGTCAGGGTGCAGTGTAGCATTGATGAAACAGACAACTTTCCTCTAGTTCTTAGATACTTCCTCCTGTCCACTCCCCACTATCATGATCCCAATTCTACCTCACAAACCTGGCTAGACCAAAGGATGTACACTGGTGCAGATATGAACTGGAAACACAGGGAATCCAGAACAGATGAACCTCTCAGGACCAGTGGTGAGAGTGGTGATACCGGAAGGGTGGAGGGAAGGTGGCGTAGAAAGGGGGAACCGATTACAAGGATCTATATATAACCTCCTCCCTGCGGAATGGACAACAGAAAAGTGAGTGAAAGGAAACATCAGGCAGTGTAAGATATGATAAAATAATAATAATTTATAAATCACCAAGGGTTCATGAGGGAGGGGGCAGCCGGGTGGGGAGGAGGAAAAATGAGGAGCTAATACCAAGGGCTCAAGTGGAAAGCAAATGTTTTGAGAATGATGAGGGCAACAAATGTACAAATGTGCTTGACATAAGATGTATATATGGATTGTGATAAGAGTTATACAAGCCACCAATAAAATGATTTAAATAATAATAAAAAAAATAAGATCACAGCCAAGGGGAAAAAAAAAAGAAAAAATGAGAAGCTAATATCAAGGGCTCATGTAAAAGGAAAATGTTTTGAGAATGATGATGGCAACATCTGTACTAATGTGCTTGACACAATGGATGGATATATGGAGTGTGATAAGAGCTGTATGAGCCCCCAATAAAATAATTTAAATTTAAAAAAAGTTTGTGTGAAATGGAATGAAAAAATAATGGAATATTTCCCCAAGCTTTTTGAAGCCCCTCCTATACTTTATATACTTTATGAAGAATTTTTAAATTATAGTTCATGCTAAAATTTTTAATAATAAAATTTGCTCTTAAAATTAAATTTTTTAAATGCACTAAAGTGAGCAACTCATTGAAATTCTTCTGTATGACTTACACGTTTTTAAACAATGAAATTAATATTATTTTTTTCTCAACTTTCTGACTGTTTTTACAAATAGTTGTTAATGAGTTAATGAGCTCTGAAATGGACATACACTAGGCAACATGAATGAGTGAGAGGGGGCATATGAGTGCAAAATTCACAGAAAATGGGAGAAAATGATGAGCTTGATGTTTTCAAAGTCCCAAATTCTTTACCAGGCAACTATTTGAATGATGATAGCATAAGAATGAAGTAAATCAAGACTTACATTGATTACACCCTCAAAAATTAGCATTCATCAGTGATGAAACAATTTTAAGGTTAACTGGTAAAATATATTATAATAGGTAAAATATTTTTCTAACATGTTCTTTGGCAAATGAATTTAGTAATACTGATTTTTATGCCTCACTAGTACTTGAGCAAAAGAAAATATATAGGATACAAGTCATGTTCCATAGAAAACGTGACATTCCAATTCAACAATCAAGTTCCCTATGTGACTTAAGAATGTCTACATTCTATTAAGCAATGCTTTGCAAATTTAACATTCTGATTGATTAGTCAATAGCTTTAATAGATTTTGTTGTGATACAAAAGTATAAAATAATTCAAATATCTTAGACCATTGTAATTATCTTGATATATATTTGACAAAAAATGAGCAAATACTTTAAAAATATTTTTAAATCTCTGATGTTCACTATAAATACTAATGAAATATTCATCCACTTTACTTCTGCCATGAGACAGCAGTATTTAAAAGTAAAGTTCAAATGTCAAGCATAGCTTTGTGAAGAGCCATATGGAGAAAAGGAATTAAAAGTCAAAACATATAACCTGAGACTCCAACCTTGAGAAAGTGTTCCTGGCATAGTGCATGATACTGTCAAAGTCATATCTTTCGCCCAGTGAGTTCACTTCTCCAGGCTCCATCTTCAGAAAATTGTACTCTTGACCTAAGAATCAGGAATCAATCACAACTTAGAAAGAAACCTTTTAACACAGAGAAAAGAGAAACAAAAAGGATTGCCTAGGGCTAATCTATGCTTTACTAAATGCTGATGCTTCTGCCGGTTGTATTTATATATTAAAATGAAGCCGTGAAGAAAGCGTGGCTCTATCATTATGGTTTACAACATTTTAATAACAAATTGAAAGAGCAATAATGAATTCCATTAATTAGTAAGTTCAATTCCGAAAATAGATCAACTATCCAATGCATGCTTTGTATTGTTTTCCTGTGTTTATTCTTTTGCTACCTCATAACATTAGCTTATTTGACATCTCACTGCTTTTTTCCTTTTTGCTGCAATACATACTGATCTTTTTAAAGTTATAGTTTTATACAATGACTTTCCCACTTTTCTCTTTGTCTACATTTGCTAGGATCAAGAAAAACATTTTATTATTGGCATTACTGTCTTTCTATGAAACTGGAAAATGTATAGTAAGTACTATGAGTAAATATAGGTGTCCCCAAGGGGTTCAAATAGTTGAGTTGAAATACCAACCAAGAGGTTAATGCTTCAAACCCATTTATGGATGGCTCAGAAGTAAGAACTGAAATGAACTATTTCTAAATGTCACCGATTTGAAAATCTATAGAGTGTAATTCCACTGTGCATGGATGGAATGGCTAAAAGTTTGGATCAGCTAAACAATAATTAAAAACTTCAGCATATGCACATTGGAATCTGTAGGCTTTATCTATTTGACTTCATCACTAAAGATAAAAGTGATGCAAACCTTCATTTTCATTCCAAAAATGAAACAACTTTCTTTCTGACAAATATGAGGTTCCACCTTAATGAATTTGAGGTCAAATTTAATTTGATTCATAGGTTAACAATCATTTTGATGAATCTTAAGACTTGCTATTATAAACTTATGAACATCTTCCATCTCTGGAAGGATGAGGAAGCATGAGGATCATTCTGGCCGTACTTCTTACAAGACAGATTTGTTTGTCCTTTTGGCAGTCCATGGTACTGTCAGTATTCATCAACACCATAATTCAAACACACTGATTGTCCTTCAGTTTTCCATATTAAATGTCCAATTTTCACATTTATATGAGGAAAGTGAAAATAGCATGGATTTGATCAGGCACACATTAGTGCTCAATTTTAGAACATTTTCCTCTTTCTTATATTCACTGTTATTAGCTCCCCATTTCTCTTGACTGTTGCTTCCATGAATATTGATTGTAGATTCAAGCAAGATAAAATTTTTGACAATTTCAATATTTTTTTCACTTCTAGGTCCAATGATGATGATTTTGGTCTTTTTTACATTCCATTGTAATACATGTTGAAGGCTTCAATCCTTGATCTTCATTAGCAAGTGCTTCTAGCTAGTTCATCTCACTTTCAGCAATTTAAGTGGCATCATTTGCATATAAGCCTCACATCCATCCCTGATCTCAAATTCTCCTTCATATAATCCAATCTGTCTGATTATTTGCTGTTTACAGATTGCAAAAGTGTGGTGAAAGCATATAAACCTGTCACCCACCCTTCCTCATTTCAAACCACAGAAGATCCCCTTGTTCTGTTTGCACAATGGCCGTGTGGTATGTGTACAAGCTCCTCATGAGCACAATGAAGTTTTCTGGAATTCCCATTATTCTCAAGGATATACATAGTTTTTTATGGTCCACGTAGGCAAATGCTTTGTGTAGTAAACATCTTTCTGGGATTCTCTGCTTTGAGCCAAGATAGATCTGACATCAGAACTGATATCTCTTGTTCCACGTCCTCTTCTGACTCTGGCCTGAACCTCTGGCAGCTTCCTGTCAATGTATTGCTGCATCTGTTGTCAGATGTGTCTTCAGCAAAATGTTATTTGTATGTGATACCAATCATATTTTCTATAATTTGAGCATTTTGTTGAGTCATCTTTCTTTGGAGTGGGTACAAATATGGATCCCTTGCAATCAGTTGGCCAAGAAGCTGTCTTCCAAATTTTCTGGCATAGGTGAGTGAGTGCTTTTAGTGCTTCATCAGCTTGTTAAAACATATCTATTGGTATCCCATCAATTCCTGGAGCCTAGCTTTTGGCTAATGCTTTCAGTGCAAATTGAACCTGTTCCTTCAGCACCACTGGTCTATGCTCGTAGGCTACCTCCTGGAACGGATGTGCTACCAACTGGAAAGTTGACTTGTTTGTAAGGTAAGTGATTCTACAATTCTATCTTCTTTTGATGCTTTCTTCGTCATTCAATATTTTGCCCATATAATCTTCCAAGATTTCAACTCAAGGTTTGAATTTTTTCTTGAAACTTTTCACTTTAAGATATGAAAAGTGTGCTCTTCCTTTGTCTTTGCACATTTAACCATAATATTTTACTGTTTTTTCAACCTGCCCTTTAAAAGTTTCTATTCATCTCTTTGACACCATCATTTCCATTTGCTTTAGCTACTTGATGATTAAGAGCAAGTTTCAGATTCTCTTCTGACATCCACACTGACTTTTTCTTTCTTTCTTGTCTTTTTAATGCCCTGAAGTTTTCTTAATGAGTGATATTCTGGACAGCCCATTGGGTCTTCTGTCACTCATGTTCAATCCATCAAATCTGTTCTTGACATTCACGTGGGAATAAACTCAAAGTCACATTTTGTGGACTTGTTTTAATTTTCTTCAGCTTCCATCTGAAATCATATATGAACAATTGATGATCTGTTCGACTTTCAGCCCCTGGCCTCATTTTAGTTGTTGATCTTGAACCTCTTACCACAGAGGTAGTCAATTTGATTTCTGTGGCTTCTATCTAGAAAAGTCCATGTGTATCATCTCTGTGTTATTGAAAAAGGGATTTGCAGTGAAGAAACTGCTGGTCTTCCAAAATTCTATCATGTAATCTCTAGCTTCACTTCTATCACAAAACCATATTTTCCTAATAGCTTCTATCACCACAGCAACATGCAAACTACCATAATACAACAAAATGACAGACAAGTGGTGAAAAATCTGTCTTTTTTAACAACAACAATAACAAAGAAAATCTCACTGCTATAGGGTCAATTCTGACTCATGGTGACCTTGTCGCATGGGATAAAGTGCCTTTGTGAGTTTCTGAAGATGTAAATTTTTAAATTATCTTCTGGTTGTATGATCCTATCTAATACAAGTCAATAGTTCAATCATTATTAAGAAGAGTTGTGCAATCACCACCACAGTTAATATGAGAACATTTTCTTTTTTCTGGTGCTCACTGCTGTCAGCTATCCATTCCCCCCCAACATTCCCCTAGGTAATTATTAATCCAGTTATTGTTTCTATTGATTTACCTATGATGGATTTTATATACACAAAATCCTTAAAAACTACCAGAAGCAACAACAACAAACAGCAATGACAAAACAAAACCTCATTAAAAAATGCAGAACTCAATGTGAATGGGGGGAGCGCAGAGTGGAGACAGAAAGCCCATCTGTAGACAATTGGACATCCCCTTACAGAAGGGTCACAAGGAAAAGACGAGCCAGTTAGGGTGCAGTATAGAACCGAAGAAACATACAACCTTCCTCTAGTTCTTTAATGCTTCTTCTTCACACTATCATGAACCCAATTCTACCTTACAAATCTGGCAAGACAAGAGCATGCACACTGGTACCGATAAGAACTCAAAACACAGGACAGATAAACCCCTCAAGACCAATACCAACAATATCAAGAGAGTAAGAGGAAGGGGGGCGGGGGAGAGAGGGGGAACCGATCACAATGATCTACACATAACACCTCCCAGGGGAACACACAACAGGAAAATGGGTGAAGGGAGACAGCGGTTGTTGTAAGACTTAAAAATATATTATAAATTAACAAGGGTTCATGAAGGAGGGAGGAGGGGATGAGGGGGAATGAACTGATACCAAGGGCTCAAGTAGAAAGAAAATGTTTTGAAAAAGATAATGGAAACATATGTACAAATGTGCTCAACACAATAGATGTCTGTATGGATTGTGATAAGAGCTGTACAAACCCCCAATAAAATAATATTTTTTTTTAAAAAGAAAAAAAAATGCAGATCATATTAAGCACTGAATTAACTTTAAAATGGGTCAAAAAGTAGATCCAATAGTAAAGTAGCGTTCTTTAATCAAACTACCTGTGCCATAATCAACTTTACAATGATCTCTGTCTCATAACAAGGCTATTCATATCCCTGAACTATGGTCAGAAGGGATTCACCAAAGACTTAACCCACATGGAGAAACTACAAATTGATTTTGGGCTTCCTCTAGCTATAATTTACCAGCATTGTTTGGTATCACTTATTTGCATATACTACTTATACATTTTCCCCATATTTTAGGTACATAAATATGTATGGTGCAGTGGACTATAATTTTTTTAAAAATACAAGTTTACTCAATATTTACTTTCTTTTAAAGTTATTTTCCTTTTTGTCCACATAATAAAAATGTTTGGTCAAGATAGTATATTACATAACTATAGCTAACAGAAAATTTCTTCTAGTTACTTGACTGGAAAGCGTATCTTTCAGAAAGACTATTTTCTCTTTATTTCCCTTGCAATGAATCTTGATGGCTGGCTCAGCATTTCCTATATTGAGAAGTGCGCCTTTTTCTTTTCTTCCTTTCTTTGCTATCCAGCACCAAGATTACTTCAGTATTACCGAAATAAAAGTTTAGTTGTGTTTCTGCACTATCACATGCCATTGATATTTCTTTCCATTTAAAATAAAATTTGTTAGTCTCTGGAAGGAGTCTTCTCTACCAAATATTGCTTAAACATTGTGTGTCCCATTTCCTATGCTCAAACTTCTCCCTCTTCCATTTAATCCCAAAATCAAATTTTGACCTCTAGACATATTCTGAAATCCAGCTTCACCTCTCTTTTGTCTGTTAAAGGTTTCTACTTGACCATCCAGAGGCTCTCAAACTCTTGAGATGCTAAATTCAACTGGCATTTGTCTTTTTTCCTCTCAAAAACATGATCTTTTATTTATATTTCTTAAATCTGATAACACCACTATTCATTTTATTTTTGCCTAAAAATAAAACATTGACTATTTCCCCTCATATAATGATGTTTCTCTTAAAATAGTTCTGGAAGACTGTCTTCTCCCTTTTGGCTTACACTACACTGATTGAGGACGTAGATGACTTAGGTTTCTAACAGGTTATCCTGACTTTAAGCTAATCCTTCCCACCCTTACTTTCCTACTCTAAGTTAACAATTCCTACAACTTGTATAATTATTTTTAATATAACCATGTGCTGATTATAATATTTCAAATATTTCCCTGGAAAAAACACAAAATCTAAATTACCTAAATTTATATTTAACACTGCTGCTCATAACATGACCTTCCTAGGCCTTCACCAACTAGCCTTCTATTTGTAATGTACCATGCACAGAACATGGGGGAAAGTCAGCATAATTTAATCTTCTCTAATTTCAGTTTTTATCATGACATTCCCTAGGCCTAGAATTTTAATCACTCTTCGGTCTACCTTAAAACACTTGAAGTTCACTATTAAATTGAATTTCCTTTGTGATATCCTCATTGACTGGCCAACATATATTTAGTGACAACTGTGGTAGTTATACAATCTGTTGTCAATTTGAGTATTAGGAGTGAAGAGAGAAGGAGGGCGGGTATGGTGGGGATTAAAAAAAAAAAGAGTGAAGGGGTGGAGTTTAGCCTGTCAATCAGGTCACAGCTTGATGACCTCATTTGGAGGCGGTAAGGAGATAAATAGCTCACCGGAGGCAGGACGCAAGCTCACACCCTGTGAGACATTGTAGCTGACAAGACACGCGGAGCTGTGCTATAGTGCCCTGAGCTGGAGGAGCCACGTGGAGACTCCTGCCAGTGCTCCGATGCTTACAATGCCACTGATCCACAAGCCTTCCCACCCCCTGGCCTGTGATTTTCCTGCATCCGGTGTCACTGCATGTGTTTCGTGAGTCTGAAGAGGACTTTGTAGATTGGTATCAGACATATGGGCTAACACTGGACTTGCGGACTTGATCTGGGCGGGGCCAGGATGTTTTCTTAATGTACAATTACTCTTTATAAAAAGCTCTTTCTTATATACATATGAGTCTCTCTGGATTTGTTTCTCTAGTATCCCTGGACCAACACAACAACTATTTTGTATTCTATAGTATTGTCAACATAAACAATTTGTCACTTTTTGTACTCACTTTCAATGATTTAAACACACACGTACCACTTGAGTATTTGAGGACTAGAATCAGAGATTTTTATGACAGTAAGTGCATCACCTAATAAAGTAGTAATAAATAATTGGTACAAAGTATGTGGAAATGCTATGGAATTTCATTTTTCTAACTTAATGGTAGCTTTTAGAAAATAAGAATATAATTTACTTTACTCATGCTTAAAATTCATACTACGTACAAGAACATGGCAGCCTTGGGGTGCCCTAGGTGAAGCAATGGGCTACTAACTGGAAGATCAGGGCTCTGAATTGCTGAGCCACAGGAGAATGGCTTGGCTTCTATGATCATTTACAGCTTTGGAAACCATGTGCAGGTTTCTGTGAGGCAGAATCAACTTAACATCAAGTTTTTTTCATTGTTATTTGTTTTGTTTTCCTTTGGCCTACAAATACTCCACATGATAGAATTTGGAGGGGTAATAAAATGTAATGATTTCTAGGATTGTGAAGAAAAAAAATAGCTGTAAGCTCCAAATTGAAGGCATTAACATACAACTGTCAGTGAAAGTAGATTATGGTTACAAATTCTACTTCAACTATTGAAAAATTCCTTAATAATCGGCCTTTAGGGGTGGTCAGGGAGCTGTGGTGGAGTAGTGGTTACACCCTGGTAGGTAGGCAACCCTGGCAGCTGACTGCAAGGTCAGCAATTTGTAACCAACCACACTCCTCCAAAGGAGCAAGGAGGTACTTTTACTCCTCCCATAAGGAGTTACAGTGTCAGACGCTCATGGGGGCAGTTTTACTCTGTATTGTAAGTTCACTGTGAGTTGGCATAGACTTAATGGAAGTGAGTTTGTTTTTGGGGGTAGGGAGGGGGAGTCAAGTTTAAGGGAAAATCTCAAATAAATATTTAGGCTTGCTGGTAATTCATTTCCCTGGAATTTTGGTCAGAATTTATTTTAAGAATAATATGGATTCCTAAGGCAAAATAGTATATTTCATGGTAAATCTGTACTTTTAAATATCTACTCATTATAAATTCTAGAACTGAGTACAAAAAACAAGCTTAAATAAAAAAGGAGACATCTAATAATCTTGACTTATGGTTCAGTAACCAACACTCATAGAAATAAAAAGCTGGTCAAGCCAGGCAGGGTGCAGTACAGCACCGATGTACTGGAAACATACAGCTTCCTCTAGTTCTTTAATGCTTCCTCCCCCACCTCCACCCCCACTATGAGGACTCACATTCTACCTTACAAATCTGGCTAGACCACAGCATGTACACAGGTACAGATCAGAGCTGAAAACACAGGGAATCCAGGACAGCTAAACCCTTCAGGACCAATATTGAGAGTAGCCATACCAGGAGGGTAAAGGGGAAGGTGGAAGGGGATAGGGGGAACCAATCACACTGATTTACCTATAAATCCCTCCCAGGGGGATGGACAACAGAAAAGTAGGTGGAGGGAGACATTGGTCAGTGTAAGACATTAAAAAAATAATAATAATTTGTAAATTATCAAGGGTTCATGAGGGAGGGAGGATGGGAAAAGGAGGAGGGGTGAGAAGCTGATACCAAGACCTCAAGTAAATGTTTCAAGAAAATGTTTTGAAAATGATGATGGCAACAAATGTACAATGTGCTTGACATAATGGATGTATGTATGGATTGTGATAAGTTGTATGAACCCCCAATAAAATGATTTAAAAAAAGAAATTAAAAGCTGTTTTAAGAAATCCTATAAGGCACAAAACCATCCAGTCTCTAGGAAAAATAAATTATACATATATGAGGGGTATTCTAAAAGATCATATAATCATTCTAATATCTTTTCATTGTATTTTTCATAAACTCTTGAATCCTTAGTAAAAAACCATGGTGGGTAAAGAAACAAAATTTTGATCCTACTATTTTAAATAATCAGTTTCTTCCATTCATAGAGATTGAATATTAAATGTAATGAAAGTGCAGTTCAAAAATATTCCATCAGCTTTTAAATGCAACACGTGTTGTAGTTTCTCACCTGGCTGTATGTTTTCTCTTATGATGGTTACATGGTTATCTCGATCTGGTCGTGTGTGTTCATGCCAAAAGCCTATTACATGACCCAATTCGTGAACAACAATTCCAAATTTGTCACAGTTCTTGCCAATAGAAATAGCCTGAGGTCCATTTCCCCGCCGACCTACATATGAACAGCATCTGGAATAAAGTAGAAAGTGGTGGGAAGGTGATTTAGTGAAACCTTTGTACAAAAGTGTGGTAGACTCTAAGGTCCAATAAAGTCATGTGTTGGTTTGTAGTATCCTGATAAGATTCTACCTAATACAAGGCACTAAATGATTTCCCTTGAATAACTGAGAATGACAGTACTCAAGACACTGCTTCACACCTTTTTAAAATTAAATTATAAATGGAAATTGTCCAACATTATACTGTCACATCTTGAGTTCCATCAGTTCAAAACCCAGAGTCAGTATATTTGACAGCCTATTTTATTGTCACTAAGCAGGAATATTCCACTTCCCCTTCTTTTCAAAGTGAATGATTATTACAACTTTTAAAACAGGGGTTTGAGAAACTAATGGGTGCTGATTATTTATGAATCTATTAAAACAGTTAATTAACCTTAATTAGTCAACAATAGAAAGAACAGAGAAGTAACTGACAGAGGAAAAAATTAGTGACTCGTGTTGTGGTCCTTAGATTTTGTTGTTGTTATTGCTATTTTTTCAATAGTATATTTTAATACATGTATTGTTATTTATTATATACTCAAACAGTAAAAATTGGGTGTAGAAAAACTCATAATTTGTGAACTTTGGAGAGAGACAAACTAAACTACTTGGTACTTTAAAGAAGCAATAGTAATGAAACTAAAATATCTGGTGATATGCACCACACTGAGTCATTGTTAATGATTATATTCAGGAAAGAGAGATTTGAAGCCAAGAAATGTGGTCAATTTATTTAAACAAAAACACCCTTGCAACATACTCACTCCCCTAGAAATTTCCTATAAATAAGATTGGATTTCATAATGAAGAGAAAAAAATATATTTCATAGTGTCTTATTCATAGAGCTATTCTTTTACAATTCTGTAAAATAAGAAGCTGTGGTGGCTTTGATCCATGATTTATTTGAGGGACTTAGAAACTGATTAAATCTAGATGCTCAAATGAAAAGATAGTGGAATGTGTGCACATCTCAAATAATGCCATAGAAAGTCCGGCACCTGGTGAGCACACACATGTAAAACCACAGTTGTACCTACATCCGAAGCCTTCATGAGACTGTTCCTATCAGGGAACAAACATAGATACATTCCAAAATGTTGACTTTGAAAAGAGACTGCTAAGATAAAGACTCATTATCTGTTCCTATCGAGTAACAAACATAGATA